CAAGACAAAGAGAGCTGTGTGGTATGGTGCGAGCGAGAGAGGCGTTCGAGGGGTTCTTTCTCTCTGTCTTTGTAGCTTCAACAAAATGGAGACCTTTCTATTCACATCTGAATCAGTGAATGAGGGACACCCCGATAAGCTCTGCGACCAGATCTCTGACGCTGTTCTTGATGCCTGCTTAGCACAGGACCCTGACAGCAAAGTTGCTTGTGAGACTTGCACCAAGACCAACATGGTCATGGTCTTCGGAGAGATCACCACCAAGGCCAACATCATCGGAGATGAGGTGATTGAAGCAGATGGTGCCAATTATCAGCTTGCAATGGTGAGGGATTTGCGAAAAGTTAATGTGGATAGACGGTGGGTCTGTCTTATCTATGATCCTTCAAAGTCTTCCCAGAGATGTGTGGTATGGATTTGATTTCTGCCTCCACCTGATCAACGGTCAAGATCAATCTGGGACCCACCCACGTGCTTTGTGTTTCATTTTGTTGCCTGTCTTTGATGTGATGATGACTTTGGCAGAGTTATTATCCTCCTTCGCACAAATCCATTCCTCTTTTTCTTTTTCTTCTGAAGCCCCTAAACCCATTCTTCTTTCCTTTTTATTTATTTCTTTCTTTAATCACACCTATATTTCCCACTATCAGCACTTTCAGTCAGTGTCTCTCTCTTACCTCTCACAGTCCACACCCATTCTTCTTTTTTTTTATTTATTTAATCACCTCCACTAGTTTCACTCTCATTATCACACATCCATACACACCACTATCCGGATGTCTTCATATTGTTCCCAACTTTCTTTATTTTATATATAAACAATAATAGGACAAAGCTTCTAATTAGTCATAAGTCATAACGCCGAATATAAGACCTATAAACAACTCCTAAATAATCAAACTTGGAATGTAGAGCTTTTCCAACAAACTTGGACTCCTAATTCAAGCAAGCTTTATACTTAACTTCAGTTTCCTAGATGATGAAAGAGTTGCATACTACATAGAACATGCACACAAACTGGTAGAAAAACTATGATTTCTAACCAAAAATAATAATAACAGCCATAGACAAATTTTGAATTCTACAGTATTATATTATTGTCCCTACCCTAGCATAATGTATAGTAAACATACTCTTGCCCAACAGGAACATGCTGATTCCAACTATACCCTATTTTTTTTCCGCTACAACGGAAAGAATTCCAACTATACCCTATAATTAGGCTACTTCGTTAATCAAACTTATTTCTGTAGGCAAGTCCTTACTAAAGAATCAAATATACTAGTTCAACATCTTCAACTATAACTTGGAAATTTGTCCTAATTACCCAAGACAAGTTTTGTTTAAGTCAAGACTGCAGGAGAGTATTAGGCCCACACTAAAGTATTGTGCTAGCAACAATTTGAAACTAACTTCTTAACCAACTACACTATGCCCAAAAAATTGCCCAAAGAGTTTTGAACTTGAAACTTTGGGTCTTAACTCCCAAACCATTATAAAATTACCAAATACCCTTAGGTTGATTTGTGCTTTCTAACTACTATCAATTTTTATTTAGAACTATTTTGAGAAGATGGTAATAATCAATTTTTTAGTCAAAAATTGATTAAAATCAATTTATTATGAGAGAAAAAAGTGATTTATAACCTAAAAAATAAATTATAATTCACTTCTTAAAAGACCTGGTCAGAATGACCGCATCAAACAAGCCCATTAGCCCAATTGATAGGATTGGCTGCCAATCTGGATGCTCATTCGACCTATTTAGTCTAGTCTACTTTTTTAGGACTTTAAAAACATATTTCGATTCATAGAAATAGGTTGGGCAAAAATTGTGATGTCCTTTTCTTTTCTTTTTTTAAAGTTAAGCTTGGTATGAAAAATTCTAATTCAGTCTGGCATCGCATGTTCATTTAAAAAATGTTAACGTTAATTTTTAAATTAATTAGATGCACAATAAGAGAAAAAAAAAAGCAGAAAAGAAAAAAAAAGGCTTTTTTGTTAAAATATATAAGTATATAGATCAGGGATACGTTAGGAGAGAGGGAGAGGGGGAAAAAAAGAAAAAAGAATGGAATAGAGGAGAGAGAGAGAGAGAGTTGAACACTAGCGAGAGACAAAGTCGAACACATAGCGAGCGAGCGAGAGAGAGAGAGAGAGAGAGAGAGACGAACAGACAGACACACACACAGAGACGAACAAAAGAAGAAAAATGAAGAAGAAAAGAAGAACAAATAGTAGATTTGAAGAAACGAGGAAAGATTCGAAAACATAGCTTGATTTAGGGCTTCAAAAAGTTTTTCTTCATCCTTTCTCTTTCTCTGTATTCAACGAGTTAGAGTTTCTCTCTCTTTGTCTCTAACGTATCCACAACGTGTCCCAAGCGTGTCTAGTGGGAAAAATGCAAAGAGATACCATCACCTACCACACACTTACCATCACCTACCACACACTCACCTACTCCTCACCTGCCACCACCTACTCCACTACACCTACATCTATATAAGGAACCATTTGTAATAGACAGAATTATCAAATACAATATACATATCAATCAATAATAATACATCAATTTATTTTACAGAGAGAGAGGGGGGGGGGGGAACACATTAGGTAGGGTATCCGTGTCTGACACGTGTTGGACACCCATACATTGCCTCCGGAGAGGTGTTCGTGCTTCATAGGTACACAAGGCTGGTTTGTTCGAACGCACGATATTCTAGTTTTGTATTTTATAGCACTCAGTATAAAACAATAGCCTCACCATCCTTTGAATTTACGATGTCACCATTCAAATACATGTGTGGTATGTACTCCACATCGTAGCTGGAACAAAATCCATATTGGTTCTTGTTTCCTTATTCCCTTAGTTTTTTCCCTTTTCTATATATACTTGCCTTGACTTATTTGTTAGGGATAAAGAGTGAGTTGGGCTTACATTGTGCATTGGGAAAACTTGAGTGAGATTTTCATATATAATACATAATTTCTTTCATTTTCTTGAGAGAGGATTGCTAGGTCTAGAACATAAAGACTTAGTGTCTACATATTCATAGATCGAGCTTGGAGCTTGGAGAATCGTGTGCGTGTGGCTGATGCGACTATTGGAGATTTGGAGGTATAAAAGTGGAGATTGAATAGACATGAAGACGGCTGGTTAAGAAAAATGAGTTGTACCCCTTGGTCATTTTTGTAGCGTTTGCAATTTTATTCCATTGAGTCTGTCCCTTTTACATTTTAGTTTTGCATTCATAAGCATCATCAATAGTTGATTCATCATGGAGACTTAAAGTTAAAGTGGTGATTCACAGTACAACATAGATTTGATGTGGAAAGGTAAAATCATTCATTCCATTAGCATATTATTTATATTTTATCTTTGTTAGGTGTTTGGGTTTTGATTATTTTTGAGTTCTTGATCATAGTAGATAATTGAGTTTTAGACAATAGGCTAAATTACCTAGTGCACTAGACATTTAAAATCCATAAACTTTGTATTTGGGTTTTGTACTTGTGTTTTTAGCCAAAAACAACTTTTTCAAAGCAGTTGCTTGTGCATTCGTACGCAGGGCCTCACCGTTCAATGATTAGAAATGTTTTTCCTAAATTCTTTCCGATGCATCATCCATTCGGCTAACTCAAATGACTTTTAGGGTACCAAATGTAATTCCACTAGGATTAAATTCCATTAAATCAACATGCTCAAGTTTTCAGGCTGAACCAATTATTTTTAGGGTGGACTCCTTTAGCTCTATTAGGATTAAAATTCACATTTAGGAAACTAAGAGATTTTGACTAACTAGAATATTTTAAACCAAATTAAATACCCAAAAATATAAGTAGACCATAATATAGCATGTGGACCAAAACCATAACTCTTTCTAGCAAATAACAAAGAATCCTACATTCTATAAAAGTTCCAACCACCTTCCACATCAAGATTGTGAACCCAATGATAAAGGCAATACATGAATGCACACAGAGATTACACAAAATGAAGAAGTTAGATTGGGCCATTGTTCAGTTAATGCAGTGCAACCAACTGCAACCTTTAGACTATTGAAACAAGGGACCCCTCTCCAATTGCATACAAAAATGAAAATTGTCAAAACATAGCTAACTGGGAAGGGAAAGTAGTCCAAGAGTCCTGGTTTATATTGACTAATTAAACACTTCGGATATAAATAATATTGGATAATTTTGATAGATGTAGCAAGTACAATAGAGGGTAAAGTTTGTAAAATGCAATGCAACTGAAAAACTCCAAATCTTATTGTTACAATTGTGTTACATTACAATGTCTCCCTCCAAATATTCATTTTCTTGAAGACCATAACTATATCAAACTATTCCCCTTTTCTTTAATTTTTCCAGCTGGGGGTCCTTTTTTCTCCAGTTTGATCTAGTAAAATTAAGGAAAATGTAACCCCAAAATCTTCAACTATTTGACTCAACTGAGTACATATCTCTATATTTAAGATTCAGTTGACAAAAGCACACCTTATTTGGTTTGTTTTTAAAATATGTTTATGAACTTTTTAGAAACTAGTTTGAGAAAAATAAACACCAAAAAGTATCTTCGCCCAAAAATGAAAATCATATGAAAAGAATGGGGTTTGTTTTTTGGGAAATTACATATCAGTGTTATCTTTCAAAAATAATTACTGATTCATGGAAAAAATTATGATTTTAATTATTAGAGTTTGTAAAGTTCACCAGTAATTTGAAATTTATTTTATAAATATACACTGAATTGTTATTTCCCTTTATTTTATTTTTTTAACCAAACAGTTGAAAATTTTCAGAACACAAATAAAGCAACAAATTCTGAAAATTTTATCCAGAAAGTAATTTTTCTTTCCTTTCTTTACAATTTGAATTATGGGTTTTCCGTACAATCAAACACACAGCGACAATCAATCGAGGGAAATAGAACAGCAGATCTACTGATCCAAGAACTCAAATGAAGATTGGAGAGAGAGAGAGAGAGAGAGAGAGACCTTGGGGTTGGTGATGTGAGAGTGGTTGCGGATTTGGGAGGCGATGGAGGTGCGAAGTTGAGAGGGGGAGACGACATCTTCGAGATTGTAGATTTCCATGATAGTAGGGATTGATCTGCATGCCGATCTGAAGAAATCGAACACTCGAGCCCTTGCCTCCTCCAGGCTCGCTGAGTTCGCCGGTACCTTTACACCCCTAAACGACATTTCTTCTCCTCTTCGATGGAAAACTCGAACTGGAGCCCACTAAAACCATAACCAAAGCTTCTACCATCTGATTTTATGTGATTTATATTTTCCGAATTAATTTATTTACATATATAATTTTAACATAATTATATATATATATATATTATATATCTATATAATTAAGCAGAACGGATTTTAAAAATATGTTAGACACAATTGTCTTACTAAGACATTTCAAGGGTCATCATTCATTTGTATATTCACATAGATAGCTCAAATCACCCATTTAATTTCATAAGAATCCTAAATATATATCTTCCCGCCCAAACATTAAGCCGCCTCCTTAGCCACGTCTCCCTTACCCTTCTATCTTTATCTCTGCTCTCCAGCCAAATCACGTCTCCCCTCCATCCCTCTTTATCTCTCTCTCTCTCTCTCCCTGTTTTTCTTCCTGAAACTGCTCTCCTTCAACAACAAATTCGGTTCCGTCTCCAACGACAGAATCTGTGAATCAAAAGGTTCGATTTTGTTTACTTTTTTCAATCCAACGATACATGATGAATCGTGATTCCAGAAAAAAAAAACTCGATCGATACAAAAACCCAGGATTGTCAGCTGTTAAATAGCTGCTTCTTTGACCAAAAGTTTCGGGACATTGTTGCCCATGAAGTGAAACCTGTTGTTGAATTACTGGCTGTCTTGCATACATTTCTTCTATCCCACGGACGTACGATCCACCACAATTTTTCATAATTTTAACAGAGTATGATAATTGTCATGTTGGTTCACTCTGCTTTCAATTGTAAACTGATTCAATTGTTCTTTTATCTCTCTGCTCTCCAGGCCTGTTTTTCTTCGGTATTTTCTGATCGCAAGGTAAAATTGCCTTTTTCATTTTCATCTGATGATCTATTTCTTGATGGCTTTGTTCTGGAGGCATATATGTTCATCTCTCTCTTCCAAAGTTTTAGGGTTTTTTTTTTTTAATTCTTCTCTGGCCAGAAATGAATAATCAAAATTTCAAGAATGAATGAGGCTCTCAACAGGGAGATGGGAAGTTTCTGAGGGTGTTGCCCCTCTCTGATCATCAGAGCCAATGATTTCACATTCAAAATCAACAGCCCTCTGTGTGGATGTGGATGTGGATGGCGGTGGCGGTGGCGGTGGCGGTGGCGTGGAGGAGGTTTGGATCATTCTCTATGTGTGTGTATATAGAATCTCCCTTCTTCTTTCTTGGAAATTATTTTTGGGTAAATTACCCTTTCAGTACCTCTCTTTTTGTTTATGATGAGAAGTGGTTGGTTGTATGTTGTTTTTTTCGACACAGCACCAAAACTCAACCCTTTTTGCAGAAATTTCTCCATTGAAAGAGGCTGTGACGATAGCTTTCTGAGCCACCCATGAGTCGGGCGCTGAGAACCCGACCCGTTTCTTGGCGGGGCAACTCGGATGGCCTTTGAGAGAGAGCTTCTCTCATGGGCAACGGTTGTTGCAGCCACGGCGGAGTCACATTCTCGCCTGATCATATACAGATCTGAGCCTCACACATATACATGTATAATTGAAAAATGTACATATATATTGAGTTGATTGTGGCGTGAAAATTGGGTTAATATTAATTTTTCATTTGTATTGAGGGGAGTCTAATTGTTGGGACTGGTTTGGGTGAGTGTTTGGTTTTATTTTTTTACTTTGATTTGTTATTGTGTTAAACAGTAAAAGAATTGTAGATGTGGATATGTTGAATTTTTTTTGTGAAGATTGCACCTTAACAATTTGTTTAGGCATTGGTTTTGCTATCTACTGATAAGAAGGATTAAGATTAAAGCTTATCGTCGTATTTAATGGATCTTTCCACAAATTTTTTGTCAAATGAATGTTGATTATTCTAGAAATTGTGATTTTTTTTTCCATCTCATTTCTGGCTTGATGTCTCCGCCTGTTGATTTCATTTGTAGATCTGAAGATTTTTATAAGTTCAAAATTCACACAACTTTAAAAGTTATATTTATTTTTTAAGAGATTAATAGATTGCAAATATTATATTTTTTTCTTAATGATTTGAGATAATATTGCCTCTCCTTTCAGCTTCAAGGGTATCAAATTCTTTGTTGGCTTTGTTCTAGAGGCATAAATAATTTTGTATCCATAGTATTAGAGTGTTTCTGAGAATTGGTGTTCTGTCATCCCTGGTTTCCCTTTCTATGGTATATTCATTTTTATTCAAGTATATTTTTAGGGTTCATTTGTCTTTATAACCAAGGCTATTTATCAAAAATGAGGAAACGAAAGTGTAAATTTTGAATTTTGGTTTTTTATGTAAATGTTACATGTCAATACTTCATTCTCTTTTTATAAAATATTAACAAACTTTTATAAAGGAAATTTTTTTTTTTTGTTTTGCCAAGTTTTATAAAGGAAGTTTAAGTTCAATATCCTTAAAAACTATTAGATTGGCAGTCATGTTTTAAAATGTAAAAATATTTTATATAATTTTAAAAAAAAATTCACCAACAAAAAAATCCAAATTAAATGTAAAAAAATTAACCCTTAAAAAAATATTGGATAAGGCAACCTTACTGCTTGCCAAATTGGTGCAGAATATTGTTTTCAAGAATAATTCTCTTCTAAATTAGTAATATTTTTTTGGTAATTGAAATGGTATAAATCTAGAATTTTTAACCTGGAAAATATTTCAAAATTTTAGTGTACAATGTAAATTTAAAATTAATAAAATGTAAGTCACACAATAATGATGTTATTATTTTGAAAACAATTAGTGATCCAATTTTCAATGGAATTGGTAGGGGAGGTATGGATCATGGAAATTGATTTAAAATTAATAAAATGTAAGTTACACCATAATGATATTATTTTGAAAACAATGGGTGATCCAATTTTCAATGGAATTGGTATGGGAAGTATGGATCATGGAAATTAAACACGAATTGTGGAAAAAAATACATAGAAGGATATCGGATAAATGAGGAAGGAACCTTTTTTGACCATTGAATTATGACCATCCATTTTTGCCAATTAAATAGTAAACAACAAAAAAATATTTGGATAAATTATATTATACTCATTTATGTTTAATCATTTTTTTTTATTTTAATTTTTTAGATTTTAAGTTTTTTTTTTAAATTTAATCTTAAAAATAATTTTTGTTAAAAATTTGACAGAAAATGCTATAATAAACATTACATTATGTAAATGTTATCCTAGGAAGTTGCATTACACAACAGATAAGACTCGAACCCAAACATCACCCCTGGAAAGGGAGCACCTCATCTATTGGCCCAATCCTTGGTCTTACTCTGGTACATACTTTACAGAGTCAAATTTGAGAAAGTAAAGAGTTAGTATTGTAACTTCATTGTCCTGACTGTGGCATGAAAAACTCCCTTTCCCTTTCAATAGTTTAGCAAACTCCTAAACAACCTTGCTAAGTTGGAACAATTAGAAATTCCAATTCATAGTCAAATGTGAAGCATGGCATGAATCTCTCGCTATTACAAATCCAGCAAGTTTGAGTTAAAATTAGACTGTCTTTTTGGAGTTGTTTTCAAGAATTCAGTGGTTCCTCTTGCACTGAATATTTTATATCACTGCTGCAAAAAACCACTATTACCATTTTCGAAAACATCCTTCCCTTTAGTTTACTATTTCCTTTAGAGCATCTCTCCATATGGTTGTTGCTATATGGGGTGCTATTGCTATAAAATTTGGCAATGAATAGTGTTATTTTGCCAAATTATACATGCGTGCTCCAAATGGTCATTTGCATATTTTTTGGCAATCTCACAACTTTCCCTCCAACTTGTAGGTGTTTGTTTGGATATAGATTTTTTTGTGATTTTATTTTTATTTATTTTGTCTTTTGACATTTTTTATCTGTTTTGGTTAAAAAATAGCAAATAAAAAAATAAAAATAAATGAAAAAATGTTGGAAAAAAAAACAAAATTTTGTTTGATTAATTCACCTCACCAAAAACTATCACTACATATTTAAAGAATTTTTTTAACTACACATAAAAAATAAACAATCACCAATTATCCATCAACAACCAACCACCAAACAACCATCCATTAGTTAACCAGCATTTTTATCTTTTTAATGACAGTTTAATGTCAGTTTAATGTCTTTTTTATTCCACTAAAAGTGTTCTTCATTAATGTCTTTGTTATTTACAATGTCTTTTAATGTTAGTTCATGTCTTTTTTTACTTTGTGAAGTACAAAATACTCAAAAAGTTTCTTAAAACAACATGAAATTTCATTAAAAATTACATCAAAAATAAAGACTAACATTATATCCGTAACTACTAAAAAAAAGGACTAACAATTACATCAAAATAAAAATGATATTGCAAAAAATGAAAGACCAACACTTTATCCCGGTAATTATTCATCAGGAGGTAGGGACCAATAAAAATTTGGGCTGGCTCCATTTGAGACCACTTGGCGAAAATCTCGTTTTTCGCATTGTGTAATACGCTTTCATCTGAGGTCCAAGAGAAAATGTCCGTAGTCATTATTTAGTGTTCTCTTCTTTCTATCTCATTTCTGTCTTCTGGATCTCCGAAGTCATATTTTTTCATCTCATGTTCTTGTCTTATGATCTCGAAGTCATGTTTTTTCATCTCAAGTTCTTTCATCTCGCAGTCGCCCTTGAGATCTTTTTCTTCTCTTTCATTCTTTTTTCTTTTCTCTTCTCAGCAAGGTATTGTAAATTGTCCAGTGCTGTGCTCAATTTTTTTGAACTCAGCTTGAGCGACTTGATTTTTCCGAAATAATTCTTTGCAGATTTCCTACCCATGGGCCTTTTACCCCTTGCAGAGACACTACGTTCACCGACGGTTGGATTGTGTTACAAGCACTTGGACTGGTGTCATTTCAAGAGAAATGGAGTTATCCATAGGAGAATCGGGGGTTGAATTAGGGGAAAACGGTGTATGTATTCTTGACTTCACTGTGTTCGAGAGTTACATCTTGCCACCTAATATTGTTTGCAGCATTGGCCAACAATGTTCAAAAAGAAAATGTTTGTTTTCATCTTGATGGTATAACAGTTTTGTTTGAA